TTTTAGTTGTCACGCACAATAACTTTAACATTAAATTCACATTCAATTAAAGTACGAAGATATACGAATAATGCAAGTACATTTCATCAAAAATCAAGCAAATGTCTTGAGATATCTTACCTTTTAAATTTAAACGTTTTGCACAACTTAGAGCATCAATATTTCTACTAGTCATTTTTTAAAGTAATAATAATGATGATAAAGTTCTTAACGCAAAAGTTGGTAAGACTGCATAGAAGTTTATCCTAATATCAGTGCATACTTTATAATATTGGCTGAATAAATAGGTTTTTTCATAGATTTAATTTGCTGAAATTCAGTCGATACAAATGAAAATTGTTCGGCTTCTGATTTAATGTAGGTAGGAAAATTATAAAGCATACTTTTACAAGATAAACGACAATCTCTTCCTTGACGAAACCACTGTGGTAATGGTAGAGATTAACTTTTGTAAAATAGTTTAACTTGCCTCTCATTGTTTACATGAATGCACTCTGTAACATTTGGAGTAGATATATGTACTATGATTCAATTTAGTATAACATAGTACTATGGTTCAATTTATAAAAAATTACATGATCATCATATAAATTCAATATAGTACTATGATTCAATTTACTAAAAATTACATGATCATCATACTTCAAGAATGAAAAACCATCTGGAGCAAGACTTTCAATAATATCGTCAAAGTTATTAATCAAATCATTCAATAAAAAACTGTTCTTATTGATCTGGCTGAAATATTCTTTTAATAGGTGACTTTCTTAATGAATTATAAGATTTTATAAGTTGTGATGAACCTTCTTCATTCAAGTATGCGCAATCAACAAAAGTTGGAACAGGTTTTAGTTTTTTTTTATCAATCTAAAACGTTGATTCGTGTTACCTTTCTAACATTATCTTTTTTTTAAATGTTTGATGCATATGACGGAAGAATTAGTAAGTGTCCTATCTTTTTTATTTACAAATTTAATCCAATTTTTTTTAATTCTTCCTTTTTTGGAAACGAAAACACTACTGTAGATACTTAACAATATTTATGATAGTTTAAACGACAATTTACATTGCAACATTTAATAACCATCTTTTTGAACTTCCAAAGCTGCTTCTTGAAAAACACTTATGAGAAAACTGCCCTTCTATTTTTTTTATTTAAAATACAAAATGTTTGGCCGTATAAATAAAGTAGGCCAAGGACTTTGCTTTAAAATGCAACATAGTAACAGCTTATAAGCAGAAAAGAGTTGAAAAAAAGAAACGATATTATGGCGAGCTTGCAATTAATGAAAGAAAAGAAGACGGTCTCACTAGATTCTGTCGTCAGCACAATAAAGAATTGATTTCAACAGTTAATGAAGATTTTTTCAAAGTTTAAATGTCTAGATCTAAAGCATTATGAGGATGAGGATAGTTTAGAACTCAGAGCCATAGTTTCTCTCAGAGCCATACTCGATTGATATCACAACTCTGGATGATGTTGTTCAAGAATTTCTTTCATTATGAATTCTTTTTAAAGAAACGGACAAAGAAGAGTTGAACATTAACAATGTGTTAAAATTTTTACTTATTAATGATCTCTGTGAAATTTACCCAAATATAACAACATTGTATAAAATATACAAGACGTTGCTTATTTTGAGTGCACCTGCAGAAAGATCCTTCAGCAGAATAAAGTTCCTTAAGTCATATTTACGGTCCACTATAAGTGAGGAAAGATTGTCGGCCTTACCATTACAAGTAATTGAAAGAGACTTAGTGAATGACCTTGATCTTTAAGTTTCGTTTAACGGTTTTGCCCGGATGAAACTTAGACAAATGAAGCTTAATTAAGTTTCACCCACCCTGCTGTTGTTGTATTGTTGAGAATAGTATATTAAATTATTATAATTATTATAATATTAAATTATTGTAGTCAATTGTTGTTTGTTATTGTGTAGGTTGCCAAGATCCAGGGGGAAAATTTCTGAGGGTCCCCCTCCATACCTCGCAACTGGAAAACCTGCCAACCCCCAGGCGTCTTTTCAAAAAAATTTGCTCCTACAGTTGTCAAACCCTTGACTATGCCTCTACAAAACCGTCATAACTTTTAGAGTCTACATACAAAGCATGCACGCGTCCGAGAAGGCACTTGTTTTCAAGACAATAATGATTTAAGTTAAAGGTGTTGCTAATCCTTAACTTGCTATCAATACAGACGTTATCAATCAAGACGTTATAGATAACGATTTTACTGTCCAAAGTAGTATGTGTGACTAATGTAGAGTGCATAGTTGTGATAGAGAAGGAAAGAAACGGAGCATTACTCCGGTTATTATTACCTTATCTATTTCTGATGAAAATGGTGATACAAGTTAAAAACGATGGAGTCATGAATTAAAAAAGGTGATGTTACGAGTTTAAAATTAGCGAGGTAATAAATTTAAAACGGTGATGTTACGACTTAAAATTAGTGAGGTTATGATTTAAAAATGTGATGGTACGAGTTAAAATTAGTGGATTTATGAATTAAAAAAGATGATGTTACGAGTTTAAAATGGTGGGTTTATGAATTAAAAAAGATGATGTTACGAGTTAAAAAAGGCGATGAGTTAAAAACGGTGAGGTTATGAGTTAATAAACGGAAACGTTGAACTACGAAGTTAAATAAAATACGCTAATTGTTAATTTGGTAAATGAGGCTTTGTTAAATAAATCTATTTTTAGTCGGTTAAATTATAGGTTAAAAACATATTTTAGTCGATGGGTTCATATTTTAAAATTTAAAATATGAACCCAGTCGATGGGTTCATATTTTAAAATTTAAAATATGAACCCATCGACTAAAATATGTTTTAGTAAATTAGCAAAACATGTTTTAGTAAATTAGCAAAATATGTTTTAGTAAATTAACAAAATATTGTTTTTGTTGCAAACTAGTACAACCCAATAGATAAATATTTTTTATCTATTGGGTTGTACTTGTTTGCATCAAAAACAATATTTTGTTAATTTACTTACCAGCTCCTTCTTCACATTCTGCATCCACTAGATGTTAGTGTTTAACAGATTTGGTAAAACTTATAGTTGCATATGATTCCAAATCGGGCATTTGATAATTGGGTAAAAATTTCTCAAAAACAAGCGGTTGCACCCTGCATCACTAAATTCGCTGAAATTTGGCACACATGTTTAAAGATATAAGTTAGGAAAGACTGTAAAATTTTTTCAAAAAATTCTCAACCCTTTAAGATTTACAGCAACTTGAAGTTAGTTATTTTTTGACTGAAAAAAGAGGGTAAAGCCGGAAATATGTTAATTTACCATTACCCTTTTAACAAACTTGTCGTAATGTTGCAAAGCTAAACTGGGTAGGTACAATCGGCAGAGCAGATTGGCAGAGCAGATCATTGTAATGTTAATAGCGGCAGAGCAGATTATCCAATCAGCCGTTTTCTAATGATCTGCCAAATATTTCTAGTGATCTGCCAAATATTATTTGGCAGATCACACATTATTCAAATATTATTTGGCAGATCATGCATTATCAAAATATAATTTTGCAGATCACAAAATAGAAAACGGCTCATTGTCTGTCTGTGATAATCTGCTCTGCCATTATTATTATTACAGTGATCTGCTCTGCCAATCTGCTCTGCCGGTTGCATTATGATCTGCCAAAATATTCGGCAGATCACACATTAGAATACGGCAGATCACTTTTTTTTTGGAAAATATTGCGACAACAAAAAACGTTTATGTTTAAAAAGTCAGCTCATAGTTCTTTCTATTCGAAGTGCATCGTTTTTCATAAAAATATTTGGCAATCACATTATAAAAATTCTATTATATGATCTGCCGAATTATTTGGCAGATCACACTTTAGGAAACGGCTGATTGAATAATCTGCTCTGCCGTTATTAACATTTCAATGATCTGCTCTGCCAATCTGCTCTGCTCTGCCGATTGTACCTACCCGCTAAAACTTGGTACCAAAGGAGTTTAAAACCCGCTGAATCTGAAAATCATAAACTTATATCTCTAAAAACAATAAAATATAATTTATTTTTAGATCCACAAAACGCACTTGTTAATGACAATAAAAAAGGCCATTGACAACTATAGTTGTAGAAAAAATCTGACTGATAAAAAAAAGTTTTGGTTTTCGTTATTTTTAATATTAAAGATATATCTATTTTGCGAACCAATTTTTATTTGTCCTTATGTTTTATCAAGGAGTTATTGATGTTTTACTTTTTCTATTTTTCTAAAGATATTTTGCAAAAAAAAAATTTTGCAAATATATTTTGAATACAAATACAATTATTTTTGTTTTGTAATAGCTTTGTAAAAAATTTACAAAGTTATTACAAAACATAGTTGAACATTTTATAAATTTGTTTCTTTTTACTTTCATTACATAATAATAATGTCATTTTCATTACATAATATCATGTCATTAAATTTAACAATATTATTTAACTTTTGTTGTTGATTGTTTTGTCGTAATAAAACATTAATTATCATCAATAAAAAAAGTAATAAAATGATATAATAATGTCTAATTAACATTACCATGTTAAGTTACATAACTAAATAAAATTATATTTAGTTATCTTTTACTTTTACATAACTTTTTGTAAGTAGTAAATGGAGAATTTACAATAATTAATAGATAGTTAGGCATTTAAAATATGTCTATTAAACTAATAGCTACTTGTTCAAGCAATATGTTCTTTATAAATACATATTGATATGATATTGTTTGTGTTCAAGTGTACTTTTCTTGTTAGGGACATTAAGATTGTTTAAGATTTCTTGTATTAAGTGTTTAGACAGAGATTCCTTATTATATTTTTATATATATAACAAAATTAATTGCTGCTTTGTAAATAATTACGGAGCTTGTTATAAACAATCATATTTATATATATATATATATATATATATATATATATATATATATATATATATATATATATATATATATATATATATATATATATATATATATATTGACAGCAATGATCGTAAGCTACTTGAAAAATGAACAAATCTGAAACAAGAACAAATTACTAAAATATGCACACACCATCATGATATTTTAGTTGTAAGATATGAGAGTAATCAGAAAACTTGCTGTAATCCATTTCTAAGTCACCAAAAGGTGTGTAGAGGTAAAAATTTATATATTTATGTTTCATTATTTTTCAATACCATTATTAATAAGTCATATGAGTTTTTTTGATAATAAGATTTGTTCAATGTTTCATAGTTATTAATATAACAAATTGTATAGTAATATAATTACATAATATATGTTATTTAAGTAATGTAATTACTTTCTTTTTAAGCATCTTTACGTGTGATTACAATGCATACTGTGTTAGAAGCAGAAACTATAGGTTTAAATCTTATACCTGGAAAAAAACTGTGTCTAACCTGTCGAAGTAAAGTTATAACATGTTTATCAAAAAGTATAAGTGAAAATAAAAATGATGAAGATTTTGATATTGTTAATGAAAGATCTATTCAAAATAAAAAAGAAAGTGTAGATACATACTTTGCATCTGCCGCAGTATCTCCAATTAAGGTCAAAGGATTGCACAAGTGTAATGAACTAATAAAAAGATTGACCTCTTGATTAAATCTTTAGATTTGTACAACTATTTAACAATAATTGTACTAATCTAAAGATAAAAGAAAATAGACACATTTATATAACAAATAGTTCAATAACAAAAAATAGAAAACACAACTATCTTCCCATCTATGTAGAAAAGAACCCATAAACTAGTTTTATCATTTTAAAATATAGTCATCATATTTTACAGGAGCTTTACAAGCTCTGGCAGAACGTCGTAATACATCAGTAAATGGCTCAGTTACTGGCTCATCTACCCTAACTCTGATTTCCGATGCAATTTCAGGGAGGGGTCTTTATTTACATCAAGTACTTTCGCAGTTACATTCTCACTAGACTCATTGATACTATTCTCATTGATAACATTAAACTTTTCTCTTGGGGCAGGATACGGTGCAAGATCTTGAAGTGAAACAGTTGACTCTCGTCCATCAGGGTAACAAATATTAGCATATATTGGATTTACATCCACTAATTCAACCTTATCCACGAGATTATCGTTTTTGTTTGTACGCACAAAACGTCTTGGAAAAATTGGGCCAGGAGTTAACGAAAAGTAGCGAACAGAGTGAGTGGAGAGCGTCTGATAGAACAATATCCCGATTTCTAACATCTAGGTTGTAGGTTTTTAGTGCCAAACAAATATTTTTCCAGATCAAGCCATTATATCTCTTAACTTGTCCATTACTGATAGGATGATATGGGGTAGAATTACTTGTTGCAATTCTTTTCTGAGTAAGGTAAGATTTTAATTCATTAGATATTGGGTTGATGAGCCTCTGTCGGAATGAATGTACATTGGAAAACCACAAAAGGAGAATATTTGATCTAAACACTTCACAACAGTTGTTGAACTAATATCAGGACATGGGAAAGCAAATGGATACCGAGAATATTCATCAATGACTATAAACAGATATTTATTTCTAGAATTAGATGGCAATGGTCCTTTAAAATCTATACTTAGGTGATCAATTGGACGTATTGACTTGATTAACTCACAGACATTTGAGGATCGATAAACTTTGGTTTTAATTCTGAACAAATCTGGCAGTTAGAACAAACTCTCTTGACCTCTTCTGTAGAAAAAGGTAAAATTTTTAGATTTAACAAAGTGAAGCATACGAGTAACTCCTGGGTGACATAGACAGCTATGTATACCACTTAGGTTTGTTTGAGATTGGGTTCTAGCACAAAAACACGTGTGAGTGCATCAGGGACAATATTATCACTTCCAGGACGATACGATATAGTATAACTAAACTCTGCTAACTCCATCCTCCAGCATTGAATCTTACTATTTTTAATCTTTGTTTTCTTTCGGTTATCAAATATAAAAGCTACAGAACGCTAATCAGTAATTAATTTAAATTGATTCCGTAACAGTAAATGTCGCCATTTTCGAACAGCTTCAATAATAGCCACAGCTTCTTTTTCTACTGATGGGTAATTGATTTCACTTTTGCCTAATGTTCGAGACATAAAGGCAACTGGACGACCATTTTGATTCAAGGTAACTGATACGGCTACATCTGATGCATCACATTCAACAACAAAAGGTAAGCTCTCATCAATAGAACTCAAAGTGGCAGCATGAAGTTCTCTTTTAAGAAATTGAAATGCTTAAAGTGCCTCACTATTGATAGGAAAAGATTTAACATTAATTAAAGGCCGAACTTTATTAGCAAACGAAGGTATCCACTTTGAATAATAAGAAAACATACCCAAAGTTCACCGAAATGATAAAATGTTAGAAGGAGGAGGTAGTATGTCTAAAGGACATAATCGCTCAGAATCTGGTTTTATGTTGTTATGACTAACGCAATAACCAAGAATGTTTATAGAAGAAGCTGAAATAACCGGTTTTGATTCATTTAAAGTTAGACCCAACGTTGTGAAGCGTCTTGAAACCGCAGACAATTTTTATCATGATGTGCCTGATCATAACCACCAATGGTTATATTGTCAAGATATGGAAAAGTGTCATGTAACTTTTCTTCTTCAACAAACTTGTCCATAGACCTTTGGAACTTAGACACACCATTAGTAACTCCAAATGGAATCCTGCAAAATTGAAATAGTTTCCCATTTGCCTCAAATGCTGTATACTTTTTGTCTGAATTTTTAATAGGGATTTGGTGGTAAGCACAAGTCAAATGTAGAGAATACTTTGTACTTTGCAAGTCTATTTATCATATCATCTATTCTGGGAAGAGGATATGCATCTAACTCAGTGTAAAGGTTAACTGTTTGAGAGTAATCAATACAAAGGATTAATAGTCATAGCATTGAGAGTTGCTGAGGTTTCTTCTGGTAATTTTATAGCGGCAACAATATTTTAATTGGAGGAAATCGAGGATGTTTTCTGCATATAAGAATATGAGTTTCTTTGTGCAACGTCAAAAGAACAAGCTTGGTTAAATGCTGATTGCAAATTCAATGTTGAATTTTCAAGAAGTCGTTGACGAATGTAATTCGAATTTATTCCAGAAATAAAAGCATCTCTTATTTGTTCCTCTCGATATTGTTCAGCAGAAACATCCTTGTAATTACAGTTTTTACTGAGTTTACGTAGCTCCTGAAGAAAGTTTTCTGAGGATTCACTCGATGTTTGATGTCTTATAAGTAATTGATGCCTTGCAAAATTTTCATGAGGGGTTTTTATATATAAGTTTTCTAGGGTTTCAATTACACTTCCATAGGAATCACATTCTTCAATGTAATCATAAACATTTGATGAAACAAAATTAATGATGGAGCGAAATTTGTCTGGACCATCCTCTCCACAATCCTCAATGAAGTTTTCAAATGTTCGTTTCTAATGCTTCCATTCTTTTGAAGCAGATGGTGCATTATGATCAAGATCAAGCCTAATCGGTTTTAAGATCTTTGACATTTCCCAATAATTTTATATGTATGTTAAATAAATTGTAATGAACTAATAAAAAGATTGATCTCTTGATTAAGGCTTTATTTAACAATAATTATACTAATCTAAAGATACAAGAAAATAGACACATATAAAACAAATAGTTCAATAACAAAAAAATAGAAAACACAACAACAAGTCAGGTAAAATCAGAGAAGGTAAACGAAAATTGACAGCATTAACAACCTCCCTTTAAAAAAAGGTAGCCATTTCCCTTAATATATCAGAAGAAAGTTTTGAAGAACAGTCAAGTTTTAATAATGAGTATATAAAAAAAGCAAACTTGTTTGATAACATGATGGTATTGTTAACTAACAAAATTGCAGAGTCTACATCAACATCAAAAAAAGTACAACTTGCGACACTTGCTCCAACAGACTGGTCAATAAAAAAGGTATCTGAAACATTGCATGTAACAAACTATATAGCTCGAACTGCACGTAAGTTAACATTAGAAAAAGGTATTTTAACCATGCCTAATCCTAAATTAGGAAAAGCTCTTCCTGATGTAACAGTTCAACTGGTCAAGACCTTTTACAAAGACAATGAACATAGTCGTATAATACCTGGTAAAAAGGACTATGTAAGCATAAAGAAAAATGTCCACATGCAAAAACGTTTGCTCTTATGTTATTTAAAGGAATTGTTTGTTGCCTTTAAAACCAAGAACCCAGAAATACAGGTTTTAAACTCTTTTGGTACAAAATTTCAGAATTGTGGCATCACTACAAGCACCATATTAAGAGTGAAAGTAAACGGAATGATTTTCGTCACTTTTCCCCCCTCAGTTTTCAGTCAAAATCAAGGAAACTTTAAATTGCTGTAAATTATAAACAGTAAGGAATTTTATGAAAAAAAATTACGATCTTTCCTAACATATTTTTATAAACATTTGTGCCAAGTTTCAAAAATTTTGGTGATATAGGGTGCAGATTTGTGTTTTTTTTTTGTGTTTTTTGAGAAATTTTTACCCAATTTTATTAATTCTTTTTAAAAGATTTTTTATACTGTCTCTCCAACAAAAGCAATTAAAGTAAAAAAAAAAACAGATAAAAATATTTGAATGTTACCTAAATAAAATTGTATGTTATCTAAATAATAAATAATGTTATCTAAATAAAATTAAATAATCATCTAAATTCAAAGGATCAAGGTTACAAAAAAAGAGCGCGATGCCTGAAAAAACTCTTTCAAAAAGATATCAGACAAGCTAAAGTAAAATATTTTTTTAATCAGTTAAATATAGACAAAAAACTAGACAAAAAGAAAATATGGTCAGTTATAAACAAAGTACCAGGTAAAGAAATATTCTTACATAGACCAGCAGGGCCGCCCAGAAGGAGGGGCAGTGGCGGATTTAGTATAAGGCGTGGGGGAGGGGCAAGCTGACCCCACGCCCTCCTAGAGCGGTCTAACGGCGCCCCCTAAAACAATCAAAAAAAAATTATAAGATCAAATTACTGAAGACAATCCCGGTCGCCTCTATTCATTGACTTGCCCCCACCCCCACCCCCCACCCCTTCGCGCAACACTAAACCTCAATCCGCCACTGAGGAGGGGGGCAGTAAATACATTTTACCTTGGCACACGGACAAAGGGGCACATGCAACCCTCAATAAAAGATCAAAATTTTTGATAATCATAAGGTGCACTACTCCTTGGAGCAATTTAAAACAGAATCTAAAAAATTCTTATAACAACAATCAGAATTTATTGCAACAGACCTCAATTACTTATCATTCTAAATTTAATTCAAAATAGATTAAAAGAAAATTTTTTCTGTCAATATCACTTAATGAACATGCTTTATTAAACATTATTATAAAACGGATTATCTATTTGCTTTTATATAAACATAGACAATATGTAAACGGGGCTCGGTGATAAGACAGTTTATGTCTTCTTCTTACTACGGCCTAAATTTATATATCGTTACTGAGGCTGCAAAACCTCGTATGTGATTTTTTTGTAATTGTTCAGGAGAGAGTTAAAACTTAATAACTTTAAAAGTGTTTTTCGTAAAAACTTCTTCAAAGTCAATGTGAGATTGGGTCTTGAATTGATGTTTAGTAACAGTTCATGAAAAGTTTCACCAGAAAGTCGGGGGGTGGGGTGAGGGAAATCAGTTACGTGCTTTTGCTAGTCTTGCAGTGCTCAGTTTTGTTACGAAGTTTTTCAGTTTCAGTGACAATTTAAATTGGTGATCAAGCTGTTAAAAACAACCCCGCTTTGTGGAGGAGGGTTTTATCCAAAGTCGAACACAATCTAGTTATACTAAATGGACTACCTCAAAATCCGGCACTTTTTCCTAGAAAACAGAGAGAAGGTTAAACAGAGACTGAGTGGAACTGCAAAAGCGTTTGTTTGTTTTCCCTGCTTTATTTTTGGACAAAAGCATAATTTTAGCCCTGAATTTCAGTCTTTTCTCTTGACCTGGAATGGTGGAATAAAAGATAATTGGCGAAAACTAGGAGAAAAGATTAAAAGCCACCCTTCTATGATTTTTACTCCCAAAAAAAATTGTGCAGCAAAGTACATTTTTGCAACCAAACCTCGTTGTGTTTTGTGAATACTTTTAAACGTTTTAATAACTGCATATATTATGTTAATACTATCAAATGATGATAATGTTAAAACTGAACCAATTACCAAAGATGTCGAATCAAGCACACAAACGATAATACTCAACATAAAAGCCGTGTAAATGTTTCAAGTAAAAGAATAGCAAATTGTGCAATTTTTGATATGATAAAATCAATCGCAGAAGAAAATTTGGAATTTTTAGGAGACGCAATGTCACAATGTCCAAAGTATCAACCTAACTTTTTATCCTAGGGGAATCCATAGAATTAAAGGAGCTAGAAACTCATTTTTTAGAGCAGTTTCTTTTATCATAACTGGAAATGAAGATGAACATAAGCCGATTTGAAAAAAAGTTGTGAACCTTATGGTTAACAAAATTTAGGATGAAATAAGGGTATATTTGAATATGTCAATTCGAACGCATACTTGTAAAATTAAAATGCTTAAAGTTGCGACATGGGCAACTAATTCGTTGGTAATTAAATGTGCTTTATTTATGGAGGTAGATATCCAAGTATACAACAAACACGAAGCAAAAACAAAATGGATGACCTATCCATGCAGTTTACGGCTTAATAAGTTAAGTGATTATTCTATATCTCTAGACAACTTAACTGGAATCCACTTTGATGCTGTGATTAACAATTAAAAATCGAGTGCATTTACTTATGTATTTATTTCACAAATTTTAAACATTCTTGTGTAATTTCAATTATTGTTTTTTTTTCGCTCCATATTTACTATATATATGTATATATATATATATATATATATATATATATATATATATATATATATATATATATATATATATATATATATATATATATATATATATATATATGGATATCTACCCCCCTCCTCCTCATAAATTAAGCACATACTATTATATCCTCGTCGGTTTCCTATGTCGCAAATCTATTATGCATCTTAATAAATACTTAAATACCTAATAATTTCCTCGTGTTCCTCGTTGCGCATATGGTTAGAAAATTTAAGTTCATCTTCATTGCCAATTTGATAAAATAGACTGATCTGAAGAAGGAGTTAACATGATCTGAAGTAAGCAGTTAACGCCTAACATTTTGTCAATTGATTTAATCGCTACAAAACCTTTAAGTAAATGTTTATATTAAACAGAATCACTTCTTTATTGCTTTTCAAAAAACAACACTCTTTAAAACGTTAAAAAATATCCTCAAAATACAACAAAGTTGTAAAACACATTTTGCCGTAAAATATTTAATGGGATTAAAAATCTCATAATGGAAGTAAAAATGTAATTAGCACTTTTTACTAGGGAGTAAAAATTTCATATGAAATTTTAACTGGGGAGTAGAAAAAACGCGGGAGTAAAAATCTTCTACTACACCATGATCGATTCAGAACTTGAAAAGTCAATAAGAAATGAGGTATCTAAGTGATATGAAATTTTACGCATGCATCATGACGGACGTCGCTCTCCATATAGCTTTGGGAAATTTAAGTTTTCGAGGTGTGTTAGCACTTTATATTCATAAAATAATTTTGACGTTGCTTGTTATATTAATCTAGATGTAATCTTTATTTTAATACTATGTGCATATTTGTGTTCTTACTTAATACTATGTTTTTAGCCATCCTTGAGCTGTTGGGGAAACACAATAAGACGCTTCAGTTTTATGTAAAAAACGTTTCTCGACACCAAAAACAAGGAACAAAAATGCAAGCGCGCTATTTGAGCTGGAAAAGTCAAAATGAGTTTATTATACATGTGGTTTTTGCTACTATAATTGAAGAAATCCACACAGCTATTTATTTTTCCATTATTGTTTATGGAACTGCAGACGTATCTCATACGGAATAAATCACTTTCGTTCTTTGATTTGTTCGCCTAGGATCTGACAACCATTAGATAGTAAAAGAGCGTTTTCTGAAGGTAGAAAACCTGGAAAAACGGGTTCTGACATTGCAAAGCTGAAAATAGACGTTTTGGATCAAAGCCGAATTGATTTAAAGAACTATAGGGGCCAGGGCTATGATAAAGGAGCTAATATGCCCGGTGTATACAAAGGAGTGCAGGCCATCATTTTCAAGAAAAATCCTCAAGCTTTGTTCATGCCTTGCAGTGCGCATAGTCTCAATCTAGCTAGCCTTCATTCTGCAGAAAACTATTTCAGCAGCATCCAATTGTTGTATAGTCTTTACAGTCCTTGAAACTTCTCCACGAACTTGATTTAGAAGGTCATCAACTGACTTTAGTTGAGGCACTCAAAAAGTGGAAAAAGGTTTTTTTAATATAATATTGTAAAAAATGATGTATAAATTTATGTTAAAAATATATTATTCCTATATATAATTCCAATATATATATTTTTTAAATATAATATTGTAGAAAATGAATGTAAAAAAAAAATATTAATAAACATTGAAGAAAAAAAAAAAGGCTGAAATCTACAAATATATGGAGGTGAACCATTCCTTGGCAGTTATTTGGCGTTTTTTATAATGTAAAAAGTGTAAACGCATCAATGTTTGGTGATTTGTGTGGCTCTCTAAGATTTTCTTCACAATCTTTTTGACAATCTGGAAATGTATTTGGTAATGTAATATAGTTCTATATAATGTAATGAAGTTCTGACATATTCATATTGTACTCATTGATTATATTAATACTGACATATTCATATTGTACTCATTGATTATATTTAATATACATCATGTATATCAAATATAATATATTATATATTATATATATATATATATATATATATATATATATATATATATATATATATATATATATATATATATATATATATATATTATTATGTATATCAAATGTATTATATATTATTATGTATATCAAATATAATATAATATAATATAATATATATATATAATATATATATATATATATATATATATATATATATATATATTATGTATATTATATATATTATTCTTTGTTGTTAATTTATTTTTATATCATGTATAAATGTATAATTTAATATCATATATAAATAAATTATATCTATATCTATATATATATCTATATATATATATATATATATATATATATATATATATATATATATATATATATATATATATATA